TCACACACACACTCTCACACACACACACTATAACACACACACACACTATAACACTCTCTCACACACACACACACACACACACACACACAAGCGCAGAGATACAACATCCGTCAATGAGGACAGAAAAATAAACTTGTTTCCCTTTGAATTCATTTCAGCTTTCTGACTCCAGCGGCAGATATTTGTTCTTGTTTGAATCATAAACTCACTTCATTTGGACACCTTTTTCAGAAAACAAGAATCTTTGCACTGGAAGACCAGACAAACACACAGAGCGAGAGCATCAGTTTGAGATGATTCCCGTCACGTTTGTGTGGCGAAGCGTCTGCGCGCTAACGGCAGGTCAAAGGTCAGAGGCGTGCGCTCACAAAGGTCAAATCTGTGAAGGAACTGCGGAAGAGCCCAAAGGTCACACACACATGATCTTTAGAGGAGGAGAGGAAGAGGAGGATGATGAGGATGAAGCTGGAGCGCTTATCGATCGCATGGCTCATATAACAGCAGCGTCTCTGTCCGTCCACAAACACAAAGCACTGTGGGAAGCGTGCAGAGTTTGCTCTGCTCTGAACATCTACACACTCTCCTCAGATCAAACACATGTCCATTTATTCATGCAGCCAGCAATTACAATCATCATTCATTACATCTGTTCAAACATAATCATTTAGTTACACATAAAGAAATAATTAGCCACACCCAAGAAGTGACATCAACTACAAACCAGCATTTGAAACTAGTTAACCTACAAGTTAGTTGAGTTTGTTATATCTACAGTCAGACAGTCAGCGTTTGATTTGGATTCTCATCGTGAGCCAGTAAATCTTTCTTTCTCTGATTCTCACAGCAAAGCTCTGAATGAACGGAAGTGAATCTGACTGCAGTCGTCTGAAGAGTTTCTGTGGGTTCCTCCAGATCTCTCTCTCACACACACACACACACACTACATATATTTTACTATTCACACTACATGAACTCCTGACATGACAGTGAAACCGACTACAATCAAACGCCTCGGCGGAGCGGCAGACATCATGATTTACCACAACAAATACGAGTGTGTGTGTGAGTGTGAGAGAGAGAGAGAGAGTGTGTGTGTGTTTTCTCAGGGCTGCAGGCCGTCGTACACCAGAGCCGTGTCCATCGCTGCTGTTTGTGGATCATAACACCCGGCAGCGTCTCGACTGACCACCGGACACAGATCCTGATCACACCACCTGAATCACACACACACACACACACACGTTACACAAGGCTCATAACACACGTGTTACTCAGGACACATAGAACACACACACCTGAGAGCGGCGTAGATGTCGGTGTGTGTTGCGTTCTCCCACGTGGCGTGATCCACCAGCAGCGCTCCTGTCACACACACACAGACAGACACAGACAGACACACACGCACGCACAGACAGACACAGACAGACACACACACACACAGACACACACACACACGCAGACACACACACACACAGACAGACACACACACACACAGACACACACACAGATATTCAGTGGCTAACTAAATTAACGAAAAATAAAGCATCAACAGGTGATGACATTTCCCAACAGCACAGCAGTCAGT